AGTTACGGATTATTACAATCAGACAGCTCGATAACGTAGGCAGACCGAGCTGGAGATAGGGAACGCAGGACAAAGGAAGGTCGAGACACATTATGCAACAAAGGATCTCCTGGTAATAGCAAGACAATTACGTCTGCAGCTCAACCGCTCTTTCTATTTTCTGAACGTTCTCAAACGAAGACTTGGCGGCTTGTAACACCTATAGCATTTGACACATTGCGTGTTTTCTATGCAGATTGTGTGTGTGGCGGGTTGTACAAGTAGTGCAGGACATGCTTTTTGCCTTTACGCCCAATGGAATCTGTTTCGGCGGATAATCGAGACTGGTTACTCTCTGGCGTTGACGTTTTATATTTACATTCTATTCTGTGATAAGTGTTTAGAGCTAACCGGCAAACGTTATTTTCGAATGTAGAGGGTGTCAGAACTAAGACAAAGTCTTTTGAGTCATTTTTCTCAGTATGTGGTATACAGCGGTCTGTAAATAATCGAGTCTGGACCAGACAATCCAGTGATTGACATAATGATCAGGATAATGAGTACGAGTGGGCAAGTCGTCTAAGGCGCCGCAATTCGATGTGCAGAGTTGCGTCACTTTGACACGCTAGAAACCTATGATCGCGGGTTTGAATCCCGGTACGCCCCTATTATGTTTCTAGGTTTGTCAGCACCATACCCGAACGCATGCCCGTGGGTTTCACCAAAGTGGTAAACATCTGAGAGCTGCATCACTTCGAGATTTCGTCCCACATTATGCAGACGCCCAGTGATATAACAGGAATACTGTTCAAAGCAGTGTTAAACACAACTCACTCACTCACCAAATGGAGCCATTTGATTAATTCACCATCTAGCCAGTTCTAAAACGACAGATCAAGGCTATTCGGGTCCACGTTAATACTGGTTAGGCCTGGTCTGCTTCAGTTTATCGTCTTTACAAGATGCGTCATCTTCCCGAGGCAAGAGAGTTAACTGACTTTATAGGTCCAGTTCCCAGCCTTGCCGAACCAGGCTTGAATTCTTCGATCGTAGCGCCGCCAGTGGTTATTACGAGTCATGTCCCTTCTAGACCTTTTCTATGGACCAATCAGATTTCACCTCTTGCATTACTTGCATTTGCTTCAAACAAAATGGCGGCGCCCAGTCAGGACGATCTGATCGATAATTAAGATTTATATTATGATAAAACGGTCTTACATCGCGAAATGCATCAAATCACGTGAGCACCTTGATTAAAAACGGGAAAAGATTTGGAAAATATCTGTTGACAACGACCGACATCTGCCCGACAATTTACGAACCGGATTTCGATTTCTTTGCGCGACCCGTTTGAAATTGGTAGAGGGAAATCTCAATGGACAGCGCTACCGCGACGAGATCATCGGCCCTGTTTTTCTACCGTTTTTGCGTCGTCATGACCCAGGCATTACCTTTCAACATGACATCGCCCGGCCTCATATTGCTCGACTTGTTCAGGATTCCCTACAACAAAACAACGCGCTGCAACACGCTATAGATTTGTTAATTGACATTTTGGCATGTTCATGTTTTTTTCTGAAGTCAGAATGGCAAATTAAACCATTTGAACAATTACAGGAGTCTTTTATCTGTTGCAAACCGAAATTGTTTGAGATTTGGTAAAAAACATAACTTTGCACTAAATCTTATTCAATGTCACAGGAACTTTTGTTGTTCAGTACAGAAAAAACAATTTACCAGCGTCCAAAGTGCAGTCCTATAGTTCATGTGTGGTGTGTCTGTGTTGGGTGCCACACCATTATGTGTATTTGAGGGTAACATGACTAGTGCCGTGTACACTCAGGGTGATGTTCTACGAGGACATCTTCTTGCAACAGCATAAGTTCTGTAGGGTGACCGGTAAGTATTCCAGCAAGACAATGATCCAAATCATAGAGCGAAGCATTCTCAGAAATGATTTAACGAGCCAAATGTTCCACTCTTGGGATGGCCCATCTACGATCCTGAACACAATTGAAAATATCTGCGGAATCGTGGAGGGCAATAGCAATACGGATATAGCGAACGCGGATAGAGCGAACAAACGGATACAACAAACTGTTACAAAATCCCCGATTTATCTCCTATATATCATCACATAGAATTGGCTATACGTATTCAGCGGCGAATTACAACAATCCCGGCGAATCAACGCAATCAGCGGTGACCATTCATGATCAACCTTGTTAATCCTGTCTTATATTAATCTGGGCCGGTCGGGTAGCCTAGTTAAAGCGTTCGTTCGTCACGCCGAAGACCCGGGTTCGATTCCCGACATGGGTACAATGTGTGAAGCCCATTTCTGGTGTCCCCCGCCGTGATATTGCTGGAATATTGCTAAAAGCGGCGTAAAACCATACTCACTTACTCACTTATATTAATCTTACCCGGACAGGGGGCACGGGTGGCCCAGTCGTCTAAGGCGCCGCGATTCGCTGTGCAGAGTTGCGAACCTTGAGTGAGTGAGTGATTGAGTGAGTGAGTGAGTGAGTGAGTGAGTTGGGTTTAACGCCGTTTTTGACAGTATTCCAGTTATATAGCGGCGTGTCAGCTTAATGTGGGAGAAAAGCCCGAAGTGATGCAGGTCTCAGATGTTTACCAGTTCGGTGAAAACCACGGGTATGGTGCTGACGAACCTAGAAACATAATCGGGGCGAACCGGGATTCGAACCCACAATCATAAGTTTCTGGCGTGCCCTGCACATCGACGCCTTAGATGACTGGGCCACCCGTGCCCCCTTGGATCATGCTTCTGTTCTCTGCGTGAACACAAACACGGCAACGGTAGATATGTGACACTGTGTTGAACAAAGAATGGAAGGACTACCAGGTCTATTTGCTGTTAATGTAACTTAGAAGCCGTCGCATGGTGATTTGTCATTGTTAGAAATGTAAACTTAAAGCTTTTCCTGTCAGACTGCTAACAGTTGCTCGTCAGATATCCAGAACAACAACGGACCACGCATGTGTCACACATACTCATTACGCCGAGGAATGACGCGGTTATAAATGACATTGGCACGTTTAAGTATGAAACAAGATGTTTGTCATATATTCAGGTGGTTGTGTGAGGTTGTTGATGTGATTTAAATTGGAGTTACCTGTGAGAATATTTTTTTCACCATCTTGAAAGCGATTATCACCATAAAGCCGAAGTACATTAACATTTTGCAAAAAAATAACATTAAGCTCTGATTATTTTTTTAACGTTCAAAACGTTTTAAAGTTAGATATATTTCAGTTTGTAACAATGGTCGTACTTTCTGTAGTTGCTAAGTTAAAATGATACAGAAATACTTTGGTGCCACTGTTGACAAAATATATTCTTTAGTCTTTGCTTAATTATATATAAAAATAACTGTGGATCTCCCACATCTTGGGAAATCCATACATATGACAAGCCACAAACAAATAATAGATATCTCACATCTGAAACCCAATTATTTTAACCATTATCATCAAATGCCTTTAACATTTTGTAACACTGATATGGGTATCTATCAGACATCTTTCTAAGTAACTTAATCCAATACTTAATTACCCTTTGTTGGCTGGCTACGAAAATATTACTACGGCCCGTTTCACTTAGGATTGCCGTGTTTGAGGCAAGCTTACCAACACCAAGAAAACATTTAAAATATGAAGTGAGAAATTGTTCAATTACAGCGTTATACTTAGCACCCGATATGTCAGAACCATACAAAAGTATAGGCATAATTTTGCCCTAAAAAATGGTACATCCTGTGAAAAAAAGACATAACTATTTTTAGAGGCATTATAAAGAGGCATAATATCCCTTAACATTCAGTAGTAAAATAGGCTATAATTACTTGGTTCACAAATTGACCCAGATTTAAACAAAGAAACAATCATACATATATTCCAATATTCTGGAAACACACCCGTGTCCAAAATCTTATGGAACAATGTCTTCAAGTATGGTACAAAGAGATCCAATGGAAGTTCAAAGAATTCCGGGGGTATCCCATCTTCACCTGCAGACTTGCCCGTACTCAGATTATAGATAGTGTCCTTGACCTCTCTTTCAGTGATCTCACCTGACAGGAGTTCATCCGAAAAGGGTAAATCATCCCAGTTATCACATGTATGAGAGAGCAGAAACACCTCCAAAACACGATCAAACTCATTATTATCAGTTCCTTGTAAGGGGTTAAGAACCATTAGTAAGTAATTCAGAAACTTGGAACTGGTTTAATTTACCACTAAAGACTAGCAGTATTTTAAACATCTTGAAAATGGATTACCATCAATAAGAAATAGTTCATCATCTTGAAACCGGCTAACCGCCAAGTTGCTGTTTTCCACCCCCCACCCCCACCCACCCAAACAATTACTTCTCAAGCATGCCGGCTTGTGAAAATAACAGCTAAGTCCATTGTACGTTGTATGTTATAAATGACTACCTTTACCCTTTTTGACACACCTGATGTCATCACTGAGTTTCGGTGACCAATTCCCATAACTTTCACCGCTATCTTGCTTGTTACGCCCAATGAAATCTGTTTCGGCAGAAAAACCGAGACAGGTTATTCTCTGGCGTTGATAGTCTATATTATAACAAATATTGATTTAAAAGAAATATGTTAAAGACATATCAACACGACAGTTCACATCGGTTTCATTCAATTTTAATTTTGTTAATACGTAGTATTAGCTTTTATTTGTACGTTAGGCCGTTTGAACATTCAGGTGTACATATTTTGTTTGACGCCACACTCAGCAATATTCCAGCTATATGACGGCGGTCTGTTAATGATCGAGTCTGGACCAGACAATCCAATCATGGTCATCGATCCACGCAATTTGGGATACGATGACATGCATCAACCAACTCAGTGAGTCTGACCACCCGATCCCGTTTGTCGCCTCTTAGAATAGTCTGTTTTCAATAAATGCACTTTTTGTCACCAAGAATTGGGGCTCCATTGATGTACTGCCATCTGATTGGTTCATTGTTCCAGGCACGATGCAGCAGCAGCCACCGCCCTACCAAGGCCCGGGGGCGGTCCCCCAGCAGCAACCCTACCCAGGCCCGGGGGCGGTCCCCCAGCAGCCTTATTACCCCCCTCCCATGATGCCGGTGAGCTCATATGTTATAATCATTTATATATATCACCACGTGTTTGTCATCAGGTCTTTAACTGCACTCATCCGAACATTCATTTACACTCAGACCGCTGTCAGTGGTACAAAATCATGATAGCAATATATAGTGAGTGAATATGGCTTTACGCCGCTCTTAGCAATATTCCAGCAATATCACGGCAGGGTGAGGTGAGCTGAAATGGGGTTTAACGTCGCGTCCAAGATTATTGCACTTATATAGCGACGTGCATGCACGTGTGTGTGTTTGTGTGGCTGCTTGTACTAGTCCGGACTGATGCCGATTTATAGTGCTAGCTCACTGAGATACCATGCCGCAGTTTAACATGAATACCCCACTCAGACACAGTATACTGACTCCGAGCCGACCAGTCCTTGTTTTAGCCCCTTAATGCCGAGCGCCAGACAGGGTAACAACAAGTACCATCTTTTAACGTCTTTTGGTATTACGCGGCCGGGGATCGAACCCCGGACCTTCCGCTCTCCGGGCGGACCCTCTACCACTAGACCACGGAGGCGGTCATCACGGCAGGGGAAACGCGGAAAGGGCGTCATACATTGTACCCATTTCGGGAATCGAACGCGGCTCTTCGGCATGATAAACGAACGTTGTAACTACTGGGCTTCCCCACCCGCCCCTCAACTACATATAGATGTACGTACAAGTTAGATACAAAATATATTGGCCGAACATGCATGCATATAAATTACTATCCAGAAGAAAAGTACACCAAGATTTTGAAAGACTATGAAAGACTTTTTATAATTAAAGTTGTGTTTCAAGATAATGTGTAAATGTGTTCATGTTATCCAAACAAAAACTTTACGACTGACTTAGACACAAAGGCACATAGGGGTGACAAAAAATGACAAGTTTCGCAATGTCACTATCACAACACTTATTCAACATGACTTTAAAATCCCTGAAAGCACATTCAAAACCAACTTAATACCGAGCGTGTCCACCTTGTTGATTAATGCACGCCTGAACACGCACCGACGACGTCAAACATTGGACGAGGTTGTGGGTGATTGGCTACCATTTCTCAAGGCGACATTGTTCCTGTTCTTGGCGGGTTGTTGGTCGTCTGCTGACCTCTGGTCAAGGTGATCCCATAAATGTTCGACGGGGCTCATGTGTGTCAAGGGACATGCCAGCCAGGGTAAAACGTGAATGTACGCGTTGTTCAGAAAGTTCTGTGTGAGCCTTGTCGTACGCGGTCTCGCCTTGTCTTGCTGGAAGACAATGCTACGTGGCTGAATGAATGGTTGTACAGCGGGTCTCAAAACGTCCTTCTGATATCCATGGGCATTCAGGTTTCCCTGTATAATAACGAGCCTCGTTTTGATATCACCGCAGATTCCTCCCCAGACCATGACGCTACCAAATCCAAATGCCGATTTTCACAAACACTTACCAATTCTTCCTGCTTTTTGTCACCGATGACATTTGGTTGTATTCGTGCGACATATCTAAGTCCTAATTTGTAAAATAAATTAAGTCGGAAAACATTTTAGTTGGTAATGCATTTGCCACCTTTGGACATCAGTTTATAAAACCCGTTTCTGACCAAAACGTCTATAGTTTTCTACGTTAATCAGACCAGAATCAGCCTTGGAGGCGAGCCACCATTTCCAATTGTTCGTTTTTTGAGATGTAAAGTATGGGTCATTAGTACTGGTTTAGGTCTACCCTTGTGCTGCAACACCTTAAGACACATCTGACAGATAGGCAGATTTATTCAGTATTCAGCCCAAAATAAGCAAATAATAAATTACAATACATTAGGTTCTCAACATTTTGTTTATATCTATTGCAATTATTCTATTTTAACCCATTACCCTATGCATTTAACATTAGGCCATAATTGTCGGGGCATATTCGTGGATTCTTTTTCCTCAACAAAGAAAACTCCAATAAAATAAACAATGAAAATATGATGTCGATCATACACTTCAGAAACACTTCACACTCTAAACAACATTATGTCGCTACCTTCCCCATAACAATATCTTATAATCACAAAGTACGATTTTTCGGAGGTGATTTCAGGGCCGAATGAAACCCGAGTACTCCATGCATGTCGTTAAAGTGTTCATAAGTGGTCTGGTCACGTTGGTCATCGATCTCCTAATGTGTGGATCTGTGTGACATCGATCATAGGATTGCTGGGTTTACTCCTCTACTGCTCGAATATCATTGAGTGTGTGAGTGAGTTTGGGTTATCACAGCTTCGAACAGAATTTCAGTTATATTACGATTTGTCAGTGAACTACAATGTTATAGTGGAAATATGATTGACTGCCGCTACTAATGTCATTACTATATATACTACAACAGATGCAGCAGCAGCAGCAATCGACCAACGTCGTTGTCGTCAATGCCGGTGCAGCTGCCCCAGCAACTACCGTCGTGGTTCACAAGTGAGTTGGCGAGTGTCAATACTTTTTTACAATTTCTGGATTAAACGGTGTGATGTGCGGCAGAAATAAAACTAACCAATACAAACTGTTGATAAGATTTGGTTTAGTTTCATTTGATTGCACTAATAAAGGATACACACATCGCGTCGAAGCATTGTTTGAAATAAAAAAATCCACGCTGCCATCCGGCCCCACAAACGCCGACTAAATTTTTCAGGCCCTCGTCTAAGAAACTGCAGCTTATGGTGACAAATACATTGACATGTCAATTTACCGCAGGTCATAAGGACCAAAATTTGAAACTACGGGCCCGACGCGAGATCGACCTGCCACGGCCCACGGGCAGGCGCATATTTCAACTCTGTAGAAGACCATGTTGTTCCCGTATTTCCGGATACGATAGTTTTGGCAGGTCTCCAATATGATATTCTCTTGTAATACTTGAAGCAATATATTTTCACAAATTCTTATACCTAAAACGGTTATCCTTCATAAATTACTCTGAATGAATGTTGTTCAACGCCGCAGTCAGCACTGTTCCATGACAATCGGGTCTGGACCAGAGAAACCAGGGACTGCAAGTGTAAGCAGCATTTTACGACATTCAATCGCGAAACAAGCCCAGTCACAGGTCCCGACAGCCTGATTCTCTTTATTGGACTCTTCCGCAGGTCGTGTGATACAGAGGATTATTGGGGGCACGAGTGGCCCAGTCGTCTAAGGCGCCGCGATTCGCTGTGCAGAGTTGCGTCCCTTGGGCACGCAAGACACCTATGGTTGTGGGTTCGAATCCCGGTTCGCCCCGATTATGTTTCTAGGTTTGTCAGCACCATACCCGTGCTCGTGGGTTTCACCGAAGTGGTAAACGTCTGAGACCTGCATCACTTCGGGCTTCCCTCCCACACTAAGCTGACACGCCGCGATATGACTGGAATACTGTTAAAAGCGGCGTTAAACCCAACTAACTCACTCACTCACTCACTCAATAATCCGTCCGGGGAACCCCCGGACGTAGTATGCACGTCTGGCACATTCAGGACTTTGTCAAGGGGCGGTGGGGTAGCCTAGTGGTTACAGCTTTCGCTTGTTATGCCAAAGGCTCGGGTTCGATTCCCCACATGGGTACATATGTCAAGCCCAATTCTGGTGTCCCCCGTCGTGAAACTGCTGGAATATTGCTAAAAGCGGCGTAAAACCATACTCACTCACTAAGGACGTTGCACAGACCCGCACGCGAAGTATCTGGTCCATAATGACATCTGATACGAATATTATATGGTACGAGTATAGTATGGAATTTACATTATCACGTTAAGAATATTCTGAACAGACATTCTGGAACTAGGCGTAGAATGCGTGTCTGATGCGTTTCCACTACCAACCGTTCACATAACGCTTAAGCCCCGTGCGTATCTTTAGTTACGACAACGTCATAGTTGTCGCTGTGTTAACACTATGTGACCTGACTGATTGTGTTATCGTAAGTTGACGGCGTGGACCGTTGCTCGGCTTCCCAGAACACAATTTGTGATTGTGGCGTAAAAACAACACTGCCCTACCAGCTCGACCAAACGTAACCTCATTTTATCCCTCACCGGCCCAAAAGCATAAGCCAATAATAACTTAAGCTAACATTTTTATTGCATATACTTACGAAGTGGTCGACTTTCACTTTGTGTGAGTTCATTGGAGTATGGGGGCGGTCGGGTAGCCTAGTGGTTAAAGCGTTCGCTCGCCACGCCGAAGACCCGGGTTCGATTCCCGACATGGGTACAATGTGTGAAGCCCATTTCTGGTCTCCCCCACCGTGATATTGCTGGAATATTGCTAAAAGTGGCGTAAAACCATACTCACTCACTGACTCATTGGAGTATGAGCCTTCAAAGAGTGAGGACCAAACTGTATGAACGTCGGAGCTTGTATGAACCTCTTATACCTCGAGGATAGAATGTACACAATTTCGTGATTCTTTATGTTTACACTGAAAGCCATACATATACTAACTGTAACGCGGCATAAAAAAGTTCATCAAAAGGAGAGGTTCCATAAGCTAAACGTGTTCCACGGGAACATCTTTTGTAGTTTGGCTATAAGAAATAGATCCAAATAACAATAATAATGAAAATTGTCTCTTGAGAACTACGTGAGTAAAGTGATTATAAAGATGTGTCAAATAGATTCTAAGGTAAATTTATAGTTTCCTGTAGACTGTCAGTCAGTCTAGACACGGATCAAGTCCAGAGTTTGGATTTGCATTTCTTCGTTTTGGTAACAAGGATGGCTCGTAGCTATAGCGAGCATATTCTTGAACGGGATGCAATCAAACACTGCGACTTACCCCACTGTTCGAGATTAAAGTGTGTAAATGATCAGTAACAACGCTTCTGTATTTATTCGTGCTATGGAATTCCTAGGGGTTTCCCCGGGAATATGGTAGTAGTCCGTCAGAGGTTACCTCATTTCAAGGATATAGTCTTGTGAAAATCTTATGAACGTCAAATTGTGTCGTTCATACACTTATTCAGTTTCGCGGTCATGTGATCGACCTCTCATCCAATGGAAAAAACTGTATATCGTGTAACTTCACATCAACAAATTATTCCATTTTATCCCATTATCCTTTTCGTTTAACATAAGGCCACACAAGTCGATTCGCATTCATGAATTTTTCCCACAGCAAATAAACTCAAATAAAAACACAAAGTCAATATATGATATCGATCTTACACTTTAAAAATACTGCCCACTCAATAAAACATTGTGCAGATATCGTTCCCCACAAAAAAATCGTAATGTCGCAAAGTACTATATCACTTAAATTTGAATTCTAAAGCCAAAGAAATCGCCAAATCCGCGAGTAGAGCTCTCGGTGTAATTATAAGTAAATTTAAACTATTTGGAGGAATGCCATATGACGTATATAATACCCTATTCAATAATCTTGTTCAACCAATTTAATCATATGGCTCAGTTATTTTTGGCAATCGAGAATTCAGTTGTATAAACGCAGTTCAAAATAAAGCTTGTCGTTTCTTTCTCGGGGTGGGTAAATATACTCCAAATTTAGCTGTCCGGGGCGAGATGGGTTGGCCTGCTCAGCTTACTAAACAGAAAATAGAAGTTTTCCGATTTTGGAGAAAGATAAACTCTGTTCCGCCATCTAGACTTGTTTCACAGATTCGAAATTGGTCTCTTACCTTCCGCAAATCATGGGATAAGACAGTTAACGCAATGTTTATATCACTACAACTTCCATCTATGGATTTGTTTAATTTCTCTGTTAGTGAATTCCATCTTATCACACGCACTTTGAGATGCAAGGACGCCGATTGTTGGTCATGTGATTTATGGAATGACACTGGTCATGAACATGGGAATAAGTTGAGGACTTTCAGACTCTTTAAGAATACTCTAAATACGTCGACCAATGTCCGCTCTGTTTTAGACAGACAGCAACGTACCTGTACCCTTCGCAAAAACTACGCTGCAGTTCTCTCCCTTTGGAGGTTGAAGTTGGTCGCTACTCCCGTCCAAAGACACCACTACACCTCCGTTTATGTAGGTTATGTGACCGCCAGTGTGTCGAACACGAAGTACATTTCCTCACAGAATGTGAATTCTACTCTGATCTACGATATGACTATTCTCATTTGTTTTCTCCAATACATACTTGTCTAAGAAGTTTAACCCCAGAAGACCAATTTATATATGTTATGCAGAATGATAGTCTAGCTATTCCCCTAGCCGCAGTTGCTACTGCTATGTATAAAAGAAGAAAATTTCAACTTGCATTGTAAGTAGTGCACTTCTGATCCACACGTATCTCACTAAACGATACAAGCATAATCTCTTTATATAAAACTGAGCTATTTTTGATCTCTCGTGTCTCATAGGCCAACCGGCCGGGTGGTATATTATATATTTTGTCTTGTACTTTGAATGTATGTATTTTATACTGCGTGACACGCAAATAAAATATCTTATCTATCTATCTATCTATCTCTATCTATATCCCCGAAAACAACTCGAATACCCTATGCTTATCGTAAGAGTCTTCAAACGAAGCCTGATATCGGCCACTTAACCTTGTGTACAAGCGGCACCTTTTCACTAAGCCTCAAACAGTCTTTCACCATTATCTCGCTCTCGCGACGTCACCATAAAAACCTTCTTTTTGGACTTGGATGATGCGAGTGTCAGTAAAGGGCCGTGACAAAGCGATACCACGAGGCGAGAAAGCGATAACACGAGGCGAGAAAGCGATACCACGAGGCGAGAAAGCGATAACACAATACGAGAAAGCGATAACACGAGACGAGAAAGCGATAGCACGATACGAGAAAGCGAGAAAGCGAGAAAACGATAGCATGACACAAGAAAGCGGGAAAGCGATGGTGCGAGATTGCGAGAAGGCGATAGAATGATAAAGCAACAGAACCATACGCGAAAGCAATAAGTGAGAAATCATTAAAGCGAAAGCAATAAAGCGATAAAGTGAGAAAGCGGAAAAGCGATAGAGTGAGAAAATGATAAAACGATAGAACGAGAAAACCATAAAGCCATAGAACCAGAAACACGATAGAGCGATAGACTGAGAAAATATTAAAGCAATAGAGAGAGAAAACAATAAAGCAAAAGAGAGAAAATAATAACTTTATTGTTTTCTCTCTCTATTGCTTTATTGTTTTCTCTCTCTATCGCTTTTAAATTATTATTTTCTCTCTTTATTATTATCTCTCTTTATTGCTTTATTGTTTTCTCTCTCTATTGCTTTTTAAGCAATAGAGAGAGAAAACAATAAAGCAATAGAGAGAGATAATAATAAAGCAATAGAGAGAGAAAACAATAAAGCCACAGAGAGGGAAAATAATAAAGCGATAGAGTTAGAAAACGATAAAGCAATAGAACAAAAAAATGATTAAGTCGTCTCGTACGAAAAGTTTAGGTTTATGTGTTCTTGAGTTCACACGGAGGAATACATTTCAAGTGTAAGAGATTTAAACGTTCACCTGTCAATCCAGATCCGGTATTCTACGGAATCCGCGTAATGAATCCCTACTCGTCCGTGTCAAACCCATCAAGGAGGAACGCAGAAATGAAATCAGTACACAAAGAGAACCTGTAAATCCCTAGCGATAATTCCAACCTACGGTCGCCATTTGTAAACAAAAGTACTTCCTTGACAACCATTCTTCTGTATGAAGTGAGAGGCATGTCCTCGCTGCAACAAGGCCATGTCTTGTTTCGTGTTGAACGCCGTGTACAGCAATATTCAAACTATTTGACGGCAGCTGGTAAATCATCGAGTCTGGATCAGACAAACCTGTGATTGTTATCAAGTGCCATGCTGTCAGAGCATAGTGACATGAAACAATTAACTACGTTACAGATCCTAACCACCCGATCCAATTACAAAAAAAGCAAATTGTGCTGGGGATATACTTTAAGCCGGAATTCCCCCGGGCGTCACATCGTAACATCCGAACAATCGACGTCTCACATATACTGACGGAAATAAATAAGGGAACACTTAGTTTTAGACACAGTAACATGATATGCTATCATGGGTTCCAGCCTGTCTACCAAATACGTGTTGTAAGTAATGCACACAAACACATCTCAACAAATGTTTCTGACATGTGTTGAATCTGTATGCGCGCTATTTCAAATGTACTGACAGTAAGGCTTATTTCCCTATATTTATCATTGGTCGCTTATACGTTTCAATCGGTAATTGTTTCATGGTCCAATCCCAGTGTGTCTCTATCCCAGTTTGCCTACAGAAATTACTGTAGGCATATCGGGAATTCGCTTTCATCGCAATATAGGTAAATAGACTGAACCGCTATTGCTTATCTCATGTTTGGAAAGAGATAAGCGTCAGGATAAACTTTGAAATTCAATCTACGTCAGGGGGCACGGGTGGCCCAGTCGTCTAAGGCGCCGCGAATCGCTGGTTGTGGGTTCGAATCCCGGTTCGCCCCGATTATGTTTCTTGGTTTTCAGTACCATACCCGTGCTTGTGGGTTTCACCGAAGTGGTAAACGTCTGAGACCTGCATCACTTCGGGCTTTCCTCCCACATTAAGCTGACACGACGCGATATAACTGGAATACTGTTAAAACAGCGGCGTTAAACCCAACTCACTCACTCACAATCTACGTCATTAGGAGAGGACGTCAGTTCAGTAGCTTACGCTGTATATGTAGCGGCCATACAATTCCCAAGTCCCGTGATGGGAAATGAACCACGGACATTCTGAACGCCTTGTCCATATGACCAAAGAGGTTAACTCCGTCAGCAAGCTGACAAGGTAAGGATGTCATCTGTGGGATGACTCCACGCCCTTCTACATATACAAAGTTCACAAATATGCGTACCGAATTTAGTATACGATGCCTTGAACGTCACGCCAATAGAAACAGGTTTACGCTAAAGTCGACTCGTATGTAGATGTGAGTTAGTGAGATAGCTTCACACCCCTATGACCTGTTTTAAGCTTGATGTGGTCTTAAGTGCCAACCACTTTTGTGAAAGTGAAGGTGAGGTGAGGTGAAATTGGGTTTAACGTCGCGTCCAAGATTATTGCACTTATATAGCGACGTGCATGTACGTGTATGTGTGTGTGTGGCTGCTTGTACTAGTCCGGACTGATGCCGATTTATAGTGCTAGCTCACTGAGATAAATTGCCGCAGTTTAACATGAATACCCCACTCAGACACAGTATACTGACTCCGAGCCGACCAGTCCTTGTTTTAGCCCCTTAATGCCGAGCTCCAGACAGGGTAACAACAAGTACCATCTTTTAACGTCTTTTGGTATGACGCGGCCGGGGATCGAACCCCGGACCTTCCGCTCTCCGGGCGGACGCTCTACCACAAGACCACGGAGGCGGTCTGTGAAAGTGAAGAACACTGGTATAGTGTTAAAACAGGAAGACTGTGATTCGAACCCACGATCATAGATTTCTGGCACGCCTAAGAAACGCAACTCCGCATAGCCCGTTGTGGCTTCTTATACCCATGAGCCACCCATGCCCCTTATTTAGATGTCAACTCATGGTTGTATTTGGTCCTCATTGTGCAAAGTTTGTCGTTATCCGACCTCAGAGGATCGGATGGTCACTCTGATTGATTTCATTGACCAATTGGCGTCTCTTCGTGCTCTCATGGCTTGGATCGCTACCCTTGCTCCGTGTCTGCTCCAGACCCGAGTATTTACAGGCTACAGTTATTTAGTTTGAGTGAGTGAGTGAGTTGGGTTTAACGCCGCTTTTTAAACAGTATTCCAGGTATATCACCGTGTCAGCTTAATGTGGGAGGAAAACGCCGGAAACCTATGGTTGTAGGTTCGAATCTCGGTTGGCCCCGATTATGTTTCTAGGTTTGTCAGTCACCCACCAGCTTGAACAAAATAAATTTGCTTCAGACTGTTGAAAAAAAATACTTGTTCTTTCTAAAACAATACATGGTTACAAGATGGTTCGTATTTTTAAAATTAGGCTCATAGTTATAATTCATACGAAATATATGTTCTTGCAGTTCCCACATAAAATTCGCCATCTCTGAGAAGGCGATAAAACAACTGTAAATCTCGAAATTAACGCAAGCGTGAATTAAATGCGAAAAATGCATTCTCGCATTATTAAACATCGCATTTATATCAACAGTAAGGCATGTTGGATAGCAGAAATTAGGCTCATAGTTTTAATTTATAAGTAATAGATGTTCTTGCAGTTCCCACACAAAATCCGCCATCTCTTAGAAGACGATTAAACTGCAAGTATATACATTGTTGTTTTTAGGAGAGGAGTGAATCATTGCCTGCATTTTTGCATCACGCTGTTCTTCTTCCCGTGGGTGATCGTGTGGATCATTCTGGTAAGTCGTCATGAGCACATCGGGTACCCTTGAGTATTCACTAGCTGCTAGGGTAGAGTGTGGATCATTCTGGTAAGTCGTGATGAGCACATCGGGTACCCTTGAGTATTCATTAGCTGCTAGGGTAGAGTGTGGATCGTTCTGGTAAGTCGTGATGAGCACATCGGGTACCCTGGAGTATTCACTAGCTGCTAGGGTAGAGTGTGGATCCCTTTGGTAAGTCGTGATGAGCACATCGGGTACCCTTGAGTATTCACTAGCTGCTAGGGTAGAGTGTGGATCCCTTTGGTAAGTAGTGATGAGCACATCGGGTACCCTTAAGTATTCACTAGCTGCTAGGGTAGAGTGTGGATCCCTTTGGTAAGTAGTGATGAACACAGAGGCGTCAAGGTACCCTGGCGTATTAATTTTACAAGCTGCTAGAGTAGCGTGTGGTCATTGGCGTATCTTCCCAGTAGAGTCATACAAATTGTCAAATTGTCATACACCCTCACACCTTACTCTACTGTTTTTTGAGGAATTTCCGTGGAATCCTTGCAAAACCACTGCGGTTCCATCACTGTGCCGTAGCAGTACATCGGAAGTTCTTTAACCATACTGCCGTTATTCCGCATAGTTACTTCTATAATTCACCGACAGCAGGTGCTAGGTAGATCCATAAAACACGAAACAGTAGTCGGACGTTTTACGAAATTATCGGGTAAGATAACGAGAATAAGCCAGTTTACATTCAAACAACTCTTCATGATCACTTGCCGGCCCCACCAGGGTTAGGTCCCTATATGAACGCCACACCCTCACCCTCTCACAATATTACGCAAAAGTGTGTTTAGAGTTTCCTGCCATTTGCCATATTATAAGAACCGGACAAAACGTTAGGGGAAACCATGCGGAATAAACCTGCAAAGAAATTTTGAATAAAAGCGACAAAACCCTTTCCATATTCAATAGCAATCTCTGCTTGAAGCAGAGTCGATTGTACGGTTCCGAGTATATCATGAACATGTGTTTACGAATCACTATCAAATAGTGATGAAACCAGGTGTTCATGAAAAGGTGAGCGTATGAAGACCACTGGTCTCTTATATTTCTAGTTCAGGTGCGTAAATCAGTGTAAGGGAATTGGCTATTTGATTGTTATTGAACGATATCAGATCATCGATATACCTGAACCTTAAGTTACACTTCTTGGCCAGATTACCTTGTTTGGACTTTGCCCATCCGAGCAGAAATTCCGATTCATATGCATAAAGAAACAGATCCGCTAGAAGGGTAGAACAATGGATGCCCATTGGGATGCCTGCTTCCTGCCTAAATGTCTTTCTCCCTAATTTTATGTAGATGTTATCAATGAGGAAGTCCAGCATTACCCATATTGTTTTCTCAGTAAACTTCAGATGGTATTTGCTTTCTTTTTTCACAAATTGTCCTGATCCTCTGAATATAGATACGTAACTGTATCTGTGGTCACCACGTTTTGTAACAAAATGACCCATGGATCAATGATGTTTTTTCCTTAAGTTTGTCATGTGGGATAGTCGTGTACAAAGTTGAAAAACCAAATGTGTTGATGGAATTTGATTTTCTTTTCCAGTGTATCACTGACGACTCGTAGATGTACCAGACAACCTGCAGTCACCTGTGATCGCTTTCAAGTGTGCTAACTTCGTTTGAATCTAAATACTTTCTATAGTTTTAGTGCTATATAATTTATAAAGCATGTTTGGTAAATGTATAATCCCGACAAATTCCGATTTTTTATATTAACACCCCTGTTATGATTATTCGTGCCTTAACTGTGCCTTTGGCTAACTCACTTGCGGTTCGAAATGGTTTCCCAGCAGTCCGAGATATTTAAAGAAAAAATGTCTAAGTGGGTTTTGAATCTCTTGTGAATATTTTTTCTGGCGATGGAAAAGATCGTTGATTAGCAGACCCATGAGCTTCCCTTTGTACATACGCGTACACAATCTGTCGTTGATGAAAGTAACCTGAATTAATTTGTTTTATATTTTGCTATTTACATTTTGACAACGACCCGTGAAGATCCGGAATGCCGTAAAAGGCGACTATGCTTGTCGTAAGAGGCGACTAACGGGATGGGATGGTCAGGCTCGCTGGCTTGGTCGATGCATGTCATCGTATCCCAACTGCATGGATCGATGCTCATGATGTCAATCACTGGATTGTCTGGATTTACAGACCACCTTCATATAGCTGGAATATTGCGGCGTTAAACAACAAACACCAACAACAAAGATCGAACATTTACACATGCACCAATGCAAATAACACATCAGACGCACCAGTTATTGTTTATGTCAACGGGACGGCAGTGTTGACTTCATGCGAATCTTACAACGTCATAGCTGAAGATTGAAGTGTTGACGTTATTTGACATTTGTGGTGTCATAAGACGTCGGTCGTAATCAGTGCATAGTTGTCTGAGTTCAAAAGGGTTAAGAAATAATGGTAAATAAAGAAGCTTTTATACTTGCATTTGTGTCATTCTGATTTTACGAAACTCGTCTAACAATTCATGTATCATCCTTCACTCGCTCGGGTAAAAAATATACAAGAATTCTGACACTTGTATAATAATCTACATGTATGCTGTACAGACAACACTGTTGAACTACCACACAGGACGAACTCAGACGGACCAACAAACGCACCAGTGAGTGAGTGAGTGAGTGAGTTGTGTTTAACGCCGCTTTTAACAGTATTCCAGTTATATCACGGCGTGTCAGCTTAATGTGGGAGGAAAGCCCGAAGTGATGCAGGTCTCAGACGTTTACCACTTTGGTGAAACCCACGAGCAACGGTATGGTGCTGACAAAACTAGAAACATAATCGGGGCGAACCGGGATTCGAATCCACAATCATAGGTTTCTGGCGTGCCCAAGGGACGCAACTCTTCACAGCGAATCGCGGCGCCTTGGACGACTGGGCCACCCGTGCCCCCTCAAACACACCAGATCATGACATAGGAAGTGCGTGACTTTCTTGACATGTCATGAAACCTAACTTCACTTCACTCTGGGGACAGAAATTCAATTTAAAGTTGTTGAACGTGGATTCGATTCCTACTAATTTCATTCAACCGAACGTAATTTGGAAACATATCAGACATAAAATCGGAGTTAAAGAGTAGCATAAAGCTGGTTTATTTCCATTCTTCTGAAAAATAACAAAACAACATGCGAACTATTTGGTAGTGGCGGAGTGATATTTTAGGTAGGTTGATTTCAGGAATTCAGAGACCACTGAAGGTCGGTATTATGCCTCCTATATTTGTTTCCATATTCCAAAAACATAATTATATCAGAAATGTATTCAGAATACTACGAATTCAAAAGAGACACTTAAATCTAGCGTATGTACATGTAACATGCACATGTATGCACTTAGTCTCTTAAATGTCATCCCATGAGAAAACATAGCAACCCTTCCCGTTTTTTAGTTCTAATCTACACACCCCTTATATACTCCATACAGTTCTACAAACAGGAATTCCAGACCGCCTACGTGGTCTAGTGGCAGAGCGTTCGCCCAGAGAGCGAAAGGTCTGCGTCATACTAAAAGACGAAAAAAGATGGTACTTGTTGTTACCCTGTCTGGCGCTCGGCATTAGGGGCTACAACAATGTCAGTATACCGTGTCTGAGTGGGGCATTCATGTTAAACTGCGTCATGGTATCTCAGTGGACAAGCACCATAAATCGACATCAGTCAGGACTAGTACAAGCAGCCACACACACGTGCATGCACATCGCTTTATAAGTGCAATAATCTTGGACGCGACGCTAAACCCAATTTCACCTCACCCAATTTAAGGACTTCCAAGCATTGTGACATGGAAGCTATAGCGGTCACCGTACGGGGCAGAGAAGCACCAAAGGTCAAGTTGTGTTGATGGTGCTGAATTTGCTGACAAGGAAGATTTGCTTTAAAAAGTCTAAGTGATATCGGACGTTTACCCAGTATCCGACGTTTACAACTTCGGTGAAACCCACGAGCACGGGTAAGGTGCTGACAAACCTAGAGTGAGTGAGATAGTTGGGTTTAACGCTGCTTTTAACAATATTCCAGTTATATCGCGGCGTGTCAGCTTAATGTGGGAGGAAAGCCCGAAGTGATGCAGGTCTCGGACGTTTACCACTTCGGTGAAACCCACGAGCACGGGTATGGTGCTGATAAACCTAGAAACATAATCGGGGCGAACCGGGATTCGAACCCACAATCATAGGTTTCTGGCGTGCCCAAGGGACGCAACTCTTCACAGCGAATCGCGGCGCCTTAGACGACTGGGCCACCCGTGCCCCCGACAAACCTAGAAACAATCGGGGCGAACCGGAATATACGCTCGTATGTAAATGAACATAGCGTGAACAGCGTCCCACAAGTTTGAACAATCTACCCGTTACAATGCATTCTCACTAACAATCATGACAGACAGTAAATATCCTTACAGATAATGAATGTTTCAAAACCAATAGAAAGTAAACAGTTTGATAAATAGAACAGCCAGTTTACAATGCGTTGTTTCACAAAGGCCACATAGTTAATACTGATCCATATCTGTCCTGATAGCAAAGCAATTAAACGTCTATTATAATGTACAGAACTCCTCAACCACGTTCTGTGCTGGTCAATATGAAGACAACGGACTATCCCTTCCTGCTGTTAAGGACTCCGTCCCTTCAAACATATTCTAAACAAGGCCATCAGTAAATTACATCTGCAAGGCCGCTTTGCCATTCAGGAAGTTCATAAAATGACACACAGAGTAATTGTTTGCAAAGACGCAATATTGATCACCGGAATGTATAGCTCGCTTGGCATCTATAGATTTGTGGGAGGAAATCAGCGTTGTGCAAATACTCATGGAAACCAACAGATGTTATTCGCCAAGTTGCCACAATAAGCACTTCACTAAACGACGTCACCGTATGGTCGGGCAGAACGGTAGCGCGGAGACATGCTTGTCAAGTTGCGTTTCTTTAGGGTGGAATTCGTCATTACGTGGAACAGGTGGTATGGAGAGGCATGGTGTCCAAAGCTAGATGGAGAAAAAGTCATGGCAGTAGGAATGATGTGGCTAAAGTGATGAACTTCTCGGAACTCTTGATTTTACTCAACTTCAAACTGGATTCAATAATTTGGTAAGTGAGCTGAAATATTATACGATCGAAGGGATACTACAGTGACGAATGTGTAGTAGTATAGCCAAATTTCTCCAAGATTCGAACTGTATTGTGAACACCTCAATGGAATGCCGGGATATACGACTTTAAGAGGATTGCAGGGGGTCGTATATTTTAGTTCCACATCATAACGTTGATAAGGAAGCAAACAGTGACTCTTTGTCGTGTTAAGTGATTTTGGCATGAAGGAATCGTTCCTAATACCTTTTATATTGAACTGATTTTAAGACGAAATGTGTAATCGAATTGCAAGTGCCTTTAGCGTTATACACATTTGTGTTATATAATCTGTACACAAAGCGGTTTCATTGAGCTGGAGCATTCATTAATGTACATTGGATGCACTGGATTTTACGATGTATTACAAGACGTCGATTGATTAATGGAGACTGAGCTGGTTTCTACAAGGATCTAGCGCATGCAAACTGACTCATCTTCTAAATATACTACGGACGGATTAAACTGAATCTGACAACCAACTGCGACGTTTTAATTGATCGTCACTTACGGTTGGGATTCTCCGTGTAATTAGCGTACACGGAGCAGTTTACTTGCCACAGCAAGACGTGAAGCAAAGAAAACCAATAGCAAATCCACGTTCCTCGCGGGCAAATCAGGAACACAGTGCATTTCCCGCAGTATTGATGATTCGTGTGTGCATAATAAATGATTTCAATGTGAACGGAAAGCGCACCTGCTGTCAATTAGCCTCCATTAATTATACAGAATTATGAGGCTGTGACAGTTTGTTCATCAGGTTAACTACCGACATGACTGTTTGGACATAACTCTCCGCAACGTTACTCTTCCTGCTTGCACGACGCATCAGTATTGGCAATGATGAACCTTGAGATTCCGTCCGGGTTGGGAGACATGTTGAAGGACTTTACTGTAGCAGTTCTCCGTGAGAAGCCAAGCAACCTGAACGAATATGCTGTGGAATACTTCACCCGTGCGAGAGATATAAGCAAACCGAAAACGGTTCCGATGTACATCATCGTCGACGACGACGAAGCAGGAGAACCGGATCTGAAGCCGAAAACTAATAAAAACAAATACGCCCGACGGAATTCAGTGTCTGCTGAAAGGTATGACCCGGAAGCGGATGATGATGAGAAAGAAAAGGTCGTTTACCCTAAATCCACAGAACAGAGAAATCGACTTAAAGAAGACCTCGAGGGAATCCTGATATTTCGTAGCTTGGATTCCGATCAAATCAACAACGTCATTGACGCCATGTTTGAGAAGAACGTTACTGATGGTGAGGTAGTTATCAAACAGGGCGACGACGGTGACAACTTTTACGTCATCGATTCAGGAACGTATGACGTCATTGTGGACGTAAACGGAGACGAAAAGAAGGTGTTTGAATTCGACAACAAAGGAAGCTTTGGAGAACTTGCCCTCATGTACAATATGCCAAGGTCTGCTACCATACGTTCCTCCGATGATGGCATACTATGGGCCATGGACCGTTCGTCTTTTCAGCGTATCATTCTGAAAGCTGCGTTTAAGAAACGTAAGCATTACGAACGGCTTCTTGAGCACGTTCCAATGCTGCAGTCAATTGACGAGTACGAGCGGATGAATCTTGCTGACGCCCTGCTCACTAAGATCTTTGCCGACGGTGACGTCATAATACGCCAGGGAGATGAGGCAGATGGCATGTACTTCATTGAAGAGGGTTCTGTGCATATCTCCATCAGCAAAGAGTCCGGTCATGTGGATCGTGTTGGAAGTCTCACTGAAGGGAAATATTTTGGAGAACTGGCCTTGATTGAGAATAAACCAAGGTCAGCTAATGTCGTGGCCGACGGTAAGGTGAAGGCCGCGTTTTTAGAACGTGAATCCTTTGAGAGGCTCCTTGGGCCTTGTCTGGATATCATGAAGCGGAACTCGGAGATTTATAAGAAATATGCGGGGAAGAAATGATGAACGACAGAGAGTGGCCATGTGGTAACTTGTATGAATGCTCCGATCGAACTCTCTTTTCGGTTTGTCCCAAACGCGGATTTCAAAGATGCTGCATAGTTTGTGTGGACATGCCCGTATTCTTCATGTGTTCATATTCTACGTAATCGACGTTTGTTATGCTGATTGCGCTCGGAAAGACTTCTTGTTGGAATGGATCATTACGAGCTCATGATCACAGGTTTGTTTTTATATGACCAGGATGATGTGATACCATTATGGCATTGTAATAATTAATACTTATAGATCTCATAATTACAGTGAACCCTCTCTCATTTTAATCGAGATAGTTTAATCACGTTGTGGTTCAAAGATAACTATATCACCCTTACCTAGTTATACGGATTCCCGATGGCCCCCAGGGCTGCGAGTTTCAGATGTTTCCGTTAAATTCCAAATCGCCCGAACAGCTGAGAATACCACATTTAACATGTGTTTGTTGTGTTCAAAATATCCATCATGTGCATTTTGTTTGTTGAAAATTGGATCGGCAGTCAAGCAAATATTGACTTTAGTATAAATGCTATATGACTCGCAAATGTACGTATTTAATTGTTCGGTTATAAGTACCAAGATAAATACCGTAGATGTTGGATAAACATGTTATGTTATGTTTGTTCATTTACGTGAAAACATCTTGAGAAGGATTACATTAAAGAGACACTTGTTGTTTAATCCATTTTATGAAAAATTATTTTAAAGTGACTCTTGGTATTTAATCCATTTTATGAAGGATCACTTTAAAGACTTGGTGATTCTTGACATTTCAGTCAAGTGTCACTTAAAAGCAATCCATCATAAGATGTTTTTTCTTCACGGAAATGAACAATTAAAACATTGTACACTTTTCTCCAACCCTCATATTTTGTTATGTGAACGTGTCTATGTTATGTGCATATTATATTGTTCACCTGTTGTATCAATCACACGTGTCGACATGAACCACATATCTTTAACTATGGTTGACCAATATGTCAAATATCAGTCGTGTTAAATATGCACCTGTACATGTATGACTGGTGGCATTTTCCAGGATTAATTATTGCCTCAATGTTTGATTGGAATTTAAAACTTCTCTTATAAGTACAGTGTTGTGTTTGTTTGTTGTTCAACGCCGCACTCAGAAATATTCCAGCTTTATGACGGAGGTCTGTAAATTATCGAGTCTGGTCTAGACAGTTCAGTGATTGGCATCATGAGCATCCATCCACGTTTTTGGGATACGATGACATGCATCAACGAAGCCTGACCACCCGATCCCGTTAGTCGCCCCTTACGACAAGCAGGGGTTGCTGAAGACCTATTCTAACCCGGATCTTCACGGATGCAGTAGAGTGTAGTTCAATCAAGAGGAGCGACGCTTTCAACCCGGAAGCAAGGAAACGGGAGAAGTTAAGTCAAATTAAATATTTATTATAAAAAACACAAACAAACAGACATTTAAGCTAGTGATCTTGTGTGTGTGTTTGCTTGAGAGATCACGTTTGTCAGCTCATGTTCAGGGTTTTTATCAATCTAGTGATTTTCAACGACCTGTGTCACTTGAGGCATAAAACTTGACTCACCCACGCAGTCACTCAGAATGTGCGATGATTGGCAAGTGGGCATTTCATTAGAAATATCGCACAGTTATTTTATTGGAATGTCAGTGTGTGTGATTGTAATTCGCTATGGTAGGTGTGCACATGTACCTACGTATGTTTGTGTGCATGCGTTTCTATGGATGGTGGGGTATGTAATGCTGATGGTGATGGTGTGTGTGTGGTTGTGTGTGTGTGTGTGTGTGTGTGTGTGTGTGGTTGTGTGTGTGTGGTTGTGTGTGTATGTGGTTGTGTGGTTGTGTGTGTGTGGTTGTGTTTGTGTGTGGTTGTGTTTGTGTGTGGTTGTGTGTGTGAATGTGTGTGGGTGTGGGTATGTGGTGTGTGAGGTGTGTGTGTGTGGTTGTGTGTGTGTGTGTGTGTGTGTGTGTGTGTGAGCCAAACGGTTAATGTGTTCGCTTGTCAAGCTGAGTACCCTTGTCCTCCGTTTCCGAATGCCCTCACCACGAGTTTTAGGTCATGCGGACATATACAAACGCTTCGTCATTCAAGAGGGCGGTGGGGCAGCCCAGTTTACTATATACTCCAGTGGTCAGAATGTGCTCGGATCTGAGCAGAGATTGTGGACTTTCAAGCTACAAAATGACATTCCATTAACAGGCTCAGTGCTGGTCCTTATGAGAGAGGGCTGGGGATGGCTTATCTTGAAGACATATAACGGAGATGATATTACCAAACAAAACCCACTGTGTAGCAGTAGTTAAAGTGTTACGTCCCGGGTTTGATACCCGATACATTGTGTGAAGCCTATTTCTGGTATCTCCCGTCTTGATATTGTTGCAATATTACTAAGAGCGACATAAAACCATTGTTACACACTCATAAATGAATGCCTCACACCATAATAGTTCTGGAGTATTGCTAAAAGAGGCCTGACCCTCAACTCACGCATTCACTCAACCTGACCCTTAAAACTTGCTAAACTGAAGTACTCTGCCTCGCGCAAAACTCACAAGATCGTGACACCGAAAGAAACTAAATTGTGTCTGACAAACTGTACTGGAGGTTCTGGTTTAGAATACGTATAACTATACCAGATGCATCAGCCGACTTACATGTAGGTTGGGTTTTTACAGTGCTTGGTTTGAGATACAGTGATACGTTTGAACGTATCCTGTTGACGCGGAGCGTTGACCAGTCACAGTGTCGTGACTCGGTTATTACCACAGCTGCGCGGAAATGGTGGACAATGGCTAACTGAGGCGTTAAAAAACATGACTCGCACATTCATTCCGTTCTCCTACCTTGATATACAAGTCACAATATGGCAAATTAGAGACGCGTTGTCCACTTTCATTCATGTGTATGGCCTTACGCCGCTCTTAGTAATCGACCCGTGAAGATTCCGGGGTAAAATAGGTCTTCAGCAACCCATGCTTGCCGTAACAGGCGACTATGCTTGTCGGACGAGGCGACTAACGGGATCGGGTGGTCAGGCTCGCTGACTTGGTTGATACATGTCATCGATCCCAATTGCTCAGACCGATGCTCATGGTATCAATCACTGCATTGTCTGGTCCAGATTCGATTATTTACAAGCCGCCGTCATAAAGCTGGAATTTTTCGTGCGGCGTTAAACAACAAACAAACAAAAATATCACAGCAATATCAAGGTTGGAGATACCGTCATACATTGTTCTCATGTCGGCAATCACCCGGTACCTGACAAGTGAACGCTTTTCGAGTGAACCACTAGACTACTGCATCGTCCTCTTGATTCGCGAAGTGGTGATAATTATATTCCCTCTTGTCGTAACACTCATCGGTGAAGGGGGCGGTGTGGTAGCCTAGTGGTTAAAGCCTCTGCTCGTCACGCCGAAAACCCGGGTTCGATTCCCCCCATGAGTACAATACCTGAGGCCCATTTCTGTCGTCCCCCACCTTGGTATTGTTGTAATATTGCTAAAAGCGGCGTAAAACCATACTCACTCACTCATGGGTGAAGACATTGGTAAACGGGGGAATACCCTCTAGTATCTGGTGCATTACTTCTCCATTGTATTAAGATATGTACCCATGACATTCGCTATTATAGGTTGGTTTAAAGACTGACCTCAGTATCTCCCTCTCTCCCACATTACGTCACTAACGTAGCACAGAATGCCTCTCGCTCATGAGAGAATGTTGATTGGACGGCTCTTTTAGCGTCATGCTAATCGAATCAATCTGTCTCAACACGAATGGATCAGGTATTTATGATTACATCACTATAGGGTTGTTATGTTCATGATTTTAGCAGGTCGTGTTTCTTTGTAACTACCCTGCATGAGGTTGGGCGATTCCATTTAGATGAGAGGGGATTCAACCTTGGTTCAGGCTTTTCCATTATTGTATAAAGTGCATCGTGTTTGTTGTATAAGTAAACTGCCGGGGCAAAAGAATGTAGACAAATTGGATTTATCCAATATAAACTTTATCAAAATGTTACCAGTCGCCAACTTAAGGTTTGCAAATGCATTGCCATCGAATAACTATTTCTTGTTTGTTTCATTATTATCGACCATCAAACATGTTTATCTGACCTTACGTTACAATAACAGCTTCGTCCCACCAGCTTCTGATTGGTTAAAGAGCGAGCAATAATTTTCCATGTACTCCGCTCTTGTACCCCGCGGAGAAATCAATCGGAGCACATCAGAGGTAACTCACTTTTCGAATAAGTATCGTTGAGTTGAAATGAACCGATGGTTATCTGAATGCATTAGGTAAAGGGAAATAACTAAGTTTGTTTGCGTCGTCTACTACGAGGTTTGCTGACTCGGTGAAACTGCGGACAAATGATCCGGACCTGTATGAATGAATGTTGGTAAGATACATTCGATGTCAACTGACCCCTCGGGGAAATTGGTGTACTCTGTGTTTGAGCGTATGTACTCACACGTGCACAGGCTCGGCAATTAGGTCGGCGCCCCAATTTGCGGGGGATATGGAACCATAACAACATGGGGCTAACGTACAGGAAAGGAATGGAGATATAATACTCTGGATAATCGAGGATGGTGTTTGGTGATCAATAGCGACCATCTCTCACCTGGCTGACATTGTTACATTGTTTGATTGTTTGATCTTACCTTACCTTTGTTTCCTACCCTTACCCTTACCTTTATTTCCTACCCTTACCCTTACCTTTGTTTCCTACCCTTACCCTTACCTTTGTTTCCTACCCTTACCCTTACCTTTGTTTCCTACCCTTACCTTTGTTTCCTACCCTTACCTTTGTTTCCTACCCTTACCTTTGTTTCTTACCCCTACCCTTACCTTTGTTTCCTACCCCTACCCTTTCCTTTGTTTCCTACCCCTACCCTTACCTTTGTTTCCTACTCTTACCCTTACCTTTGTTTCCTACCCTTACCCTTACCTTCACATCAGTTGAAACATGTTTAATATCTGTCCATTCGCTCGCTAAATATTGACTATCCCGACCAAGATTTGTGTTAACGATTTCCTGTTTCTTAAAAACATCCGCACTGTGTGGTGAGGCAATTTGATGAGGGCCAATAACTCTGCCTATAACATTTTACGTCTTCACGCTCCCAACGCCGATACAGGAACAATTGCACTTCGAACTCTGTTTCCACACTTCTTCAACAACAGGCAACATATCAGTTGGATTCTCAACCGCAAGCAGAGTTTGTTTATTTTTTGTTTATTTTTAATTCCTCCCGATCGACCGCTCCCTTAAAAACTGATCATGAGATTGGAAGCGCGATAATTCTATGGATGGCCTTAATTAACCTTCTCTAGATTCCCACATTTTGTCCAGGCGATGAGCTAATCAGGTTTGCTTTCTTTAGCTGACAAATTGGAAACCCTAACTACATCAGTGATGGCAACAATAAACATTGAAATCGATGGTAAAATCTCAGCTTGTAGAATCTCGTCGACAGCGTCCTACATAAAGAACATGCATATGCGCATATCAGTTGACTAAACACGTGGGGCGGAACACTGTGTATACATGTGACAGGGTCGTGCAGTTGGTAATCAAGCTGGTGCTCGGGATTCTACATACCTCTGGGGGCTAGATGTCGCCCTTCACTCATACGTTCACACACTCAACTTTCAATACGGGGAATGGGGGACCCAGTCACTTGTTGTTTATTGTGCAACGTTGCGTAGGCCATCGGCCCATGTCACAGCAGATGTACATCCGCCATTATTGTAATTTAAATTAACATAAGCAGTTTTATACTTAATTGCATAGACTTATGAATATACATAGCCAAATATTTTATGATATTACATTTATCACTTTGACATCAAGATACTGAATTTATGAAATGTGGGAAATACATAGTAGTTTCTTTGAATGTACTGTTCACGCAATTCGGCAAACACCGTGCATACAATCAAGAAATGGTACTCAACCTCAACGAAACCTTTATTACAAACATTGCAAAGCCTTTCATTTCTTGGAACATTTGCATATCAGTCGTCTGAGGCAGCGCTTCGTTGAGACGCGTTCCTGGAGCGTGCCACAAACCT